TATCTCACACTACATCAGAAGCTAGTATGCACATGAAAAACGTTCTCAAAACATTTTTTTTACAAAAAGGTGTGGATCACTGGCCAAAATCCCAAGTAGTAGTCCAAGCACAGAATAGTTGAAGACCATACCTCATCCTGGCTTCAACTCTAGCTCCTCTCCCACCTAACACTTATCTACTGCTGCTGCTGATGATCTGCTTACACATAGCATAAGCAGAGAAGAAGAATAAAAGAGGGTCAGCTCATAGCTGAGTGAGATAATCATAGCATCGTGAGTTCATAACAGAGCATACCCCTATCATACATCTAACAATCAAACCAAAACACTAGGATCGGACCTCAGCCATCCTCATATCCCAATAAGCAAAAGACTCAACCACTTTGACTTATGCATATGCATCTTATCATGTTTTAATCATAGGCGCCTGGCTACTCCCATGCTAATAACTCTCCCGGGAAACATACCCCACATCCCGTCGGATGTAGTCATACATACCCCAACATCCCGTCGGATGTGGTCATACATACCCCACACCACTATGGGTGTAGTCATACCCCGACACCACTCTGGGTGTGGTCATATCTCGTAAGAATTCTTCAGTCACCACCACATGAGAGGTGTGACTATCATATCATAATAGAGTAATAGCATAGGGAGCCCTAATTACTATGTAGTTGACCGTGAGACCACAACACTCATATTTGGTATCCTTATACATGATTCATATCTCATCTTGCTTAATCATAATTCGTTACTTGCACATGTACTTGACCTGGCCATAATTGGCTCAACATAGGTAAATTAGGAGTCGTATAATTGCACTTCCTCGGGATAAACCCTCGTGCAAGTCATCCTCCTTAAACATCATAATATCACCAGGGAATATATATTTCCCCACTTGTGCATCCAAATACAACAATCATGAAAAATCATACCTAATCACCTTCTCGAACCATCGTAAAGCATATTAATAGTCAAGCCCACAATTTGCAACATATACACAATCATCAGCATAAACAAGGTTTATATCGATTAGGGCAAGTCAATAATATCATACAGCAATCCAGGGTTCAACATATAGCACAAAAGTCCATACACCCCTAATCATGCCATTCTAGTTCACCTAGATCAATTCTAAGCATCAATATAATTATCGTGATACGACAAACCCGGTATGCCGTGCTAATCCCTCACCAGTTCTGGTCGTTCAAACACCGGTTCTAGCCTCCCGTACTAAAACGTCAATTTCACCAACGAACCCCGAATTAAAATCCGAGACCGTCCTAATATCCCCTGCAGTATCCCCGTCAATATTAGTTCTAGGCTCCGGGTCAAATTCTCGATAAAAACACATCAAACCCTGGCCGGAGCTAAATTCAGCGGTTTGGACCCCGGCCTAAATAATAGCCGAAATTCAGGGATTAGAACTAGGGGATTGATTACCTTGCTGCAGGAAGCTCGTATATGAAATTTGGGCTCAATCCGGCTTCCGGATACTCCGAAACCCTAATTTGGCAGATCGGGAATTCAAGAAATTCCTGAACCAAAAACTCGTTTTAAAGCTCTAAATCGATAAAACACGATGTATGGATGAATTAGGCATTACTTACGGGATTTTTGGATCACTAGGGCTCAAGATTGGAGCTTTGGAATTTTTCCACAGTCGCTCCCCTGCACTTTGCTCGCTCTGCTTCTCTCTCGGTCCAAAATGGAAAAAATGACGATGGGGATGAGAATAAAAGAGACGGGGGAAAGGGTTTATATATATATGGCCGGCCGTTTAATTAATATATATATATATATATATAATTAATACGTATACTTATCCGATCGATCGATAATCCGATTTTCGCTGAAATAGTGTCGAAATGCTCGATTTTAAATCGCGAACTTTCTAGCGATCGAAATATGGGTTTTGCCGGAACGGGATGTTACAGTTAGGCGTGGGATACATTTCTCAATTAACTGAATGTGCTGAATTTACCTTAACACCCTCCTTCAAGCGTAGGAGTGGGTCTGGGACAACTCCAAACTTGTCACAATAAAATGTTGGTGCGATATGAACTGGTATTTTGAGATCTTGGAGAAGGAAGCATAACCACGTGACTTCAGCGGTGGCATGAGCCATGGCTCGATATTCAGCTTTTCAGAACTAGACTTGGAGACGGAACCTGTTGTGGACCACCGTGTGAATGGGCAGCCAACCCAATCAGCATCGGAGTAGGCAGTCATATGTGTGGTTGTATCTCGCAAAAAATGAAATCATTGGTGAAGGGTGCCTTTGATGTATCGAAGCACACGTTTGGCAAGTTGGAGATGAAACTCGGTTGGAGCATGCATATGTTGACATAGGAGGTTGACGGCAAAGGAGAGATCAGGCCTTGTCATTGTCAAGTATTGGATCCCTCCAACAAGTTGGCGATAGCTTGCTGGATCAATGAGATACTTGGACACGGTTGTGAGCTCTAGCTTAGTGGGTAGTGGAGTAGATATGGGTTTGCTCTCGTGCATGTCGATGAAGAAGCTCCTTGGCGTACTTTGTTTGACTGAGGTGAAGGCCAGTGGTGGTGTATTTGACTTCGATACCAAGTAAGAAGTGTACCGGACCGAGATCTTTCATAGAGAATTCATTACTAAGCTGCATAATAATATGAGACAAAAAGGCAGGATTACTACTTGTAATGATTATGTCATCGACGTAAACTATAAGTATGATGGAACCAAGATCGGTATGAAGAGTAAATAGAGATGCATCGTGTGAACTATAAGAAAAATCAAGTTGGATTAGAAGCGGCTTAAGCGGTCAAACCAAGCCCTGGGTGCCTGTTTGAGACCATAAAGGTCACGTTTCAGGCGACAAACATGGTCGGGATGACTCGAGGATTTTAAACCCAATGGTTGTTTGCGGGATATCCACACCTGCAACCAAATCTTCGAAAGAAGGAATACGAGGGAATTAATATTCTTGTAGCATGAAACTCCGATCAAACAAATACTAGTTACACATCTAACTATTTTTGTGTCCTAAACAAACTACTCTGGAAATTCTGAATCCCTCGACAATACTGGCCTATTGTTGTCACTGCTGTTGCCGCTTATATGTTCATACAATCTGTAGAGAAAACCTACATCGAATTGAAAAGATTATTAACGCCAAAACCTATAGGTTTGTTACAGAGATACATAGAAGTACAAAATCAAGATGAAACTATTATGAGATGGGCACAAATCTACCTATTAATAGCCTAAATCAGTGATTGCTAGTACCTTCAGGTAGCTGCTCGGCTAGGGTGATGCAAAAATCATGCCTCTGATGAAACTTGATAAAAATTGCAGCCTGCAAAACTCTTGAAGAAACAAGCTTATTAGAAAGTGTTTATATATTGCATATAAGTCTAAACAAGTCTAAGATGTCCCTGCCCAGAATCATAGAGTCACTTTAAAAATCATGGTTGAACTCTTATAACATAATTAGTGGAGAACTGGTCAAACTCTTAGGACAATCAACTTTCTGACTATGGTATCCAAGTTTAGAGCAAGAACTCTGAAGACAGTAATCATCAATCAGGATAGGCATATGAACTCTGAATTGAAAATTGAATTCTGACTACGGTATCCAAGTTTAGAACAAGAAAAGAAACAAAGAAAAAGTATTGGGGAAGATGGAAAGTTAAGAGGCAAAAGGTCGGTCAGAAGTCAGAACTATATGCATTGAATTGACCGGGAAATTAAGAAAGTATGACCATACCAACCAGACCCTTATTCCATGCTCTTCATATCTAGAGCTCATCACTACTGTCAAAATGCACAAGCATGATCGACCTTCCAGACTGTCAAACCAAACCTCAAACTCGGTGTTAACATAAATAGTTAGAAACCCAATAGCATAAAGGATGACCATATGCAACGAACGACTCACATCCAATCAGGCAGGGTATCTGACTGAAACCCTAATTCCTACTTAGGACTGTCTTGCAGCCAAGAGTGTATTGCCACTCTTCATCACCAAGGCCAATTTGTGTGGTATTAGTACTAGTTCAATAGTATTTTCATTACCCAAATCTGGATTTTTTCATGTGGTATTAGTACCTGTGTAGTGGTATTGATACCAGTGAATTATTACCACTGCAATGGTAATTCTGCCAGTGTCTGAGTTTCTATTGAATGTTATCAGTGGTAAGCTTTTAATTCTAATGGTATTTGTACCAGTGAAGTGATATGTCTTACCAGTGTATTGGTACTTTTTTGCAGGTACTTAGAAGGAGTCAACAGGTGCAAAGATGACTAGTAATTCTACCACTGCAGTGGTAGTTGTCTAACTTATCGAACTCGTATTTCTCTAAAATGTTTATTGCGGCTAATATTTGTACCACTTCAGTGGTAGTTATGTATCCAATGATAGGTGTGTGTATCACTGCAGTGGTATATAATGTTGTTTATGGCTAGTAAATGTACCACTCCAATGATAGTTTTGATTCGGCATTGTTCATTGTGTAGCTATCACTGGAATGGTATGAAATGCTTCAGTATGGCTAATAATAGTACCACTACCGTGATAGTTTTGCTTGAGTGTCGTTTCTTTGATGTACCACTGATTTGGTATCTCTGCAATGATAGTTTTCTTGCGTGCTAATCTCTTATATCTATCACTGAGTAGATAGTTCTGAGTATCCTTGGGTGCAGGAATGGATAGGACGAAGAGACTGTATCCATGGGTGCCTAGAGGGAAGAAGCATGGAACCTATGTTGCTCGTCATGTAGAAGTTGTCAGAATCATTCCTTGAGTGCTGGTACCAGCAAGAAGTGACACAGTGAGAGCCGGGATAATGGATAACATGATAGGGGGAAAAAGAAACATACTCATTATATTAGTGGCAAGAAGTGCAGTCCCAACTCTATAATTCAAATTTTTTTTTCCATCGCATTACCAAAGAGACTCAGTCATCCTTTGGCACATGATTTATCGTTGTTTAGGCTTCCCACAAACAATTACATAGTGACTTCATTTTTATTTATTACATTGATGTATATCTTTTGTTGTGGGCATTTCCCTTTTTTTAGAACACCTTGTGCTCCACAGTTAGTGGTGATACTTATAAAAAGTTCATGGTTGTATATGTATCAGATTGTTTGTATATATATCTTTTCATTGGTAGTGTACATGTATATGTTAAGTGGTTCATGTCTCAGTGCAATGGTATGTGTGTTAGTTCAATAATATATATCTATAAGTTCAGTGATACATGTATATGTTCAATGATATATGTTCAATGATACATGTATCAGTGCAATGGTATGTGTATCAGTTCACTGGTATATCTACCAGTTCAGTGATACATGTACCATTTCAGTGGTACACTCCAAAGTATATCTAACACTACAATGAGAACATTTAGAATGAGTTTCGATTTTGCTAATGGTACAAGTACAGTATATCTAACACTGCAAGTGGGTGGTCACATTTTGGTGTGAAAAGTATGACTTGAAGGTACTTGTATCAGGTCATTGGTACATATACCACTTCAGTGATACATGTATCAGTTCACTGGTATATGTACCAAATCAGTGGTACATGTTCACGGCAGTGCCGCCGTCGCCCAGACGCTGTAGGGTTGCACTTCACTATAGGGAGAGGTAAGAAACGACCCGCCACCGCCCTCCATGTTCTTCATCATCTCTGGCGGGTTCTCTCTCGGTGGCCATCAGTCCACTTGCGGTTGGAAGGAGAGTCTGATCTCGTCTTCACCTCTCCGTCCTTCGATGCACAAGAGCCACCGTTCTTGGCATGCCCAAAGTCATAGCGCGGAATCTCAGATATGTCTTCCGTCCCAGCGTGGCCTTCGTTGGCTCTATCTCCGGTCGCATCCCTTGTTTCTTGTACTCCGCCGGCGAGCAACCCATCAGGCAGGTTGGAGGCAATCCCACCGCGGCGATGCTTTTGGTTTCCGGCCGCCATCGATTTCTGCAGAGGAGAGGGGAGAGAATCGCAGTCAAGTTCTTTAGAGGAGAGGGATGTGTAGCTATTTTTTCGGAGGGAATATGAGAGATGAAAAGGCACATTTTTAATTATTACGGGAGTCGTCAAGTTCCCCATCCAGCTATATTGCCATTCCCCATCCATAAGTATTATCACAGTTTACAAAATTACAAAAAATTAAATAAAAAATAACTTCCATTAATACAACTTGCCAAATAATTTAATGGAAAAGTGACCAATCAAGAATAGGGTGTCAAAAAACCGACCCCTTTGGGGGTAGGCATACTATCCGACCCCTGACACAAATATAAACATGGAACGCCAATATTGAACGTGCATTGAAGATTGTTAGTGAAATAATCAATATTGCTCTTTTTTGCGTCAATCATTTGGACTCTAATAGACTCATTTAAGTCCAACTCAGACCCCATTTAATACAAGATAATTGAGTCAAATTAGGCAATAAAATTGACTCATGAATTTGGCTATTATTGGCACAAACGCGAAAGTTTTGGCTATACAAGTGTACTTTGCCTAAATTTTTAAATCATTCATAAAATACTTTTACATTTTAAAAAAAATTGGTAAATTAAAATACATTATTTTAGTCGAAACTATAAAAAAAATTGCACTTTCTGTGTACCAAATAATTATTCATGCTTTTGTTAGCCATTCGCTTTCGAATGGTGTGCTTTGTGATCAATGACCATTTAGTATCAATAACGTGAGTTTTTGAGATAGGTTAATCTTATATGGTTTACTGGCACACCTCCTCAAGTGAAGGTCAACTTATAGGGATTTGAAGTTTACTCTAATATGAGAACAAAATGATTAACAAATGAGGTCCCTGATATTCGAACACAAGACCTCTCGGTCAACTATTCTCAACTAGACACTCTCTAGTTTCATTCTCAATTAACTATTATGACTAATTTACCCATTTTCTTTCTTGAATCAAGTTGGTTCACGAGACACGCCCTGTTACACTCTGCCTTCGTTCTAATTACCACCTAACCTAAACTATATACAAGTTGAAGTCAATCTCAGGTCGTTTATCCATCTTGATCTAATCTTATTGCCAAGAAATGCTGCTGAAGTCAACGGACTAGTGAGGGCGATAATGGATGTAATTGAAGTGAGATTGTTGAGATATTTGACTTAAATTTATACATATAATATGAATTTGAGTCGAAATTAAATGGTATGATCTGGAGAAATACCACTTATAGACACTTTTGTCCAATACTTTAACAGTGTTATTTAACAGAGTGACTGAACTAACAGGGGGTGAGATAGCATGACTACCACTAAAAGTGTTGGAAAAATGACACTCCCTATTAATTATTAGGCTTTTAAGGTAATTGATTTGTGTTGCATATAATAATTTGTCTGAATTAAAAACTCATATTAATTGCTTTCCTTTTTTCTGTGCATTGATAGTTCTACCTAGGGGTGGAAGTTTGGTTTGCGGGTTGCGGATAACCCGCAAACCGCACCAAACCGCACAGTTTGTGGATACCCATACCCACAATTTGTGGATAGTGGGTTGGGTGTGGGTAGTAAAATATTGATTTTTGTGATTAGTGGTTAACCACTACCCACAGCGGTTTACCAACAAAACCCACATTAACCACATTAGTTATATTAGTTTGTGAAACTTGGAAGACTAAGAATTAAGGTAGCTACTAAAATCAAATACAACTTATTCCATAACACAAAATCAAGTCAATACGCAATGTTCGTGTGAGATACTTTTATCAAATAAGCATTGTGCGTGTGGTATATGTTTATTTTATAACAAAACCAAATCTATAGATATAGTTAGATAAATTAATCGATTCGTTATAAGAGGGGAATAATCGATAAATGTTAGTTCGATACCCAAACTCGTCTCCATTTCTCCACGAACTCACGAACAACGCAACATGCAACTACAATACAAGACTATGATCAAGAGTGGAGAATAATCAATTCATTAAAAGCGGGGTGCCTCCACTTATCGAGCCACTTTTGTGTTTTGTTGTTGTTGCCATTGGAGGAGCCGTGACATGCAACTGTTTGTCTGGTAACAGGTCACTCTGCCTCTCCGTTATCTTCAAATCTCTTTCCAAATTCATCTCTTATGAATTTACACTAATGAACCTCTTGTATTCGAGATTTATGATTTATTTAACACTTTATTAACTTTCTTTTATGTATGTTTTTGTTTTTGTGTGAGAAGAAACACAACTTTACTATTTAATTACCATATTATTTTATTTAATGATGAAATTATTGTGGGTATCCACAACCAACCCGTGTGGGTAGCTTAATTCTATATTAGTGGGTGTGGTTACCCGCAAAATGTGGGGTGGGTAACCACACCCACCCCAATTTCCACCCCTACTTCTACTAGTGCAATGGTATCAATATACAGGTGCAATGGTAGTTAAAAAAAAGAAATTAATATGAGTTCAGTGAACAGGTGCAATGATAGTTCTATCAGTACAATGGTAGTTCAAAAAAGTAATGTAATTAATATGAGTTTTTAATATCATAATTAATTATAATTAATAGGGGGTGTCATTTTTCCAGTGTGGAGCTAGTAATCAAGACTTGCGGAACCACGAAGCTCCTTGCCGCCGTGGCGCCGATTCTGGATCTGGCCGGCTCTCTCTCCCTCTCTCTTTAGATCTCGGAATTTCAAAATCAAGCAATGACGAAACCACGTTCTTCCCGTTCCGACACTCGAGTTTCCTCTCTGCATTCCGATCGAAGAAATCATCTCCGACTTCTCAATCACTTGAAAACAGTAACCCTAGAGAATATTTGGAGGTTTACCCAGATTGATTTGGCGGGAAAAATCGTTGTGCCTATACCGCTTGACGAGCTCCTCCACCTCCCTCTGCGTAAGCAGGTCACCCAAGACCCTAGTCCTCTCCTCCAGGTACTGCTCCTGATCCACAACATTCGATTCCGCCGGAGCAGCGGTCCCTGTCCATTCCCTGTCGAGCCGACGCGGCCCGAACGACGAGAACTTCTTCTTTTCTCGATACCCAATTGGCTCGAACGCCAGGTTGTACTCGGAGTAAGAGTATCTGAAATCGAAAGGGAGCTAGGATTTCACCGACAGCTTGGGGTGCTCGACGGGTATGGTGATGGTCTTCTTCTTGTCCTGAGACTTGGGTTGCTTCTTTTTGGGTTTGGGTGGTTTCGCAGGTTTGGAGATGATAGAGAATGGCGGGTCATTTGGGTTTTCCGATTTTAAAATTAATTAATTATATTCTATTATATATAATTATTTTTATTAATGAATTTCTCACGTGTAATTATTAAATAAATTTAAATTATAATGTGTCATTTTCTACTTATTTGGTGCTGATGTGTGTGCTGAGTAGGAGCTTATTCAGTAAACTTGTCAATGAACTTGACGGTGTTACTAACACCGTTACAGTAGCTAACGAAAATGGCTGGATTTGTCATACAACAACTAGAAAATCTGGCTATAAATGGTATTTCTCCAAATTTGACTATTATTGGCGCGAAAGTTTTGGCTATAGCAGCGGATGATCCGTTATTATTAATCCAAAGGCCTTTGGCAAAACTCGTACTTTGTCTCATACCTAATACAACACTTGTCCAACGCATACTGAGCCCCAACCCTGTTCGGGCACCGCTCTTCGATGACCTTAACGGCTTCCTCCAAGCATGACTTGCATTCTTTACTTCTGAACTCCACTGTAGTACAGGACGTGTACAGGTTGGCCGATAGGGACGACGGACCGCCTTTGCCGAAGTAGTAGGTGTTGTTCTGGATGCAGCCTTTCAAGATTAGGGCATCGATCATGATCATCCGCTGGACGTTCTCTCTGTCGAAGGTGTCGGGACTGCAGAAGCAGGTGTCCCGAGGGGGGCAGTACATTTGCGAGAAGCAGCCGCCTAGAATCCTAGTCGTCATCAGGATCACAAGCAGTGAGAAGAAGAACCCACGATTCTCAGCCATATATATATATATAAGCCCTTCTTCTTCTCCTTCTCCTTCTTCTTGGCTGTGTTTCTTGGTACATGTTAGCTATCCGCCTGCAGCTATATATAGACGGCCTAGCTCTGGTGGCAGTGATATCGATTTTGATGATACTTTGCGTGCGTTGAGATCCAAGGCGATAGAGATGGATCTTGCTGATAAGTAAGAACTAAGGAGACAAAGGCTAGCTTCCGATCCACTTAGTAAATAATGGGGGAAGACAACATATAGGGACGTAATTATTTATTTATTTATTTATATATAAAAGAGGATCGATCATCTCTAGGTACGTAATAATATGATTATTTAGTTTAGTGAACATTTCACTTAACATGCGTACATATTAGGGTACAATACAAATTTATATATATGTTTAAAACTTTACGTATACCTCGTTTAACAATGTATAATTAAGTAAAAAAAAATTGGCGACACCACCCCAAGTCGGAATCCTCCAACTATTATATATACTAGCGTGGGTCCCGGCCAGTTGGCCGAAGGAAGATGAGGTATGAAATTTGATAATGTAATGGGGTGTATAGCTTATTGTTGTAATTTTTGTTTGGGAAACTCGTGATAAAAAATAGTCAATTTTAGTAGGAAAGAGACATGAATGATGCAATGAATCAAAAATCGGCCTTATGAACCAAAATCAAGTACATGTTACCTTGTGAAACAATATTGTTTCTGGTAATATGATAAGGTGGAGTAAGTTTTATAGAAACCGAATTCCAGAAAATCGAATAAAAAATTGTCTATCACTTCCATTTTCGGGAAATGGGCATCTAAAAATCGTTGTTAGCTTTTACTCGGCCCGTTGGTTGATTAATTTGTTTTATAAAGCTTTCATCTTGTCATCATTGGTGCTTTCTGGTTTTTGTTAGGCCATGATAAAATCTAAGGAAATCAAGAACGAACAACACGATTTGGGATAGGAACAGCCGTTGTCGTATCTCTAGAAAATGGTCGTAAACATAGACTCACCTGCCAAAATGGTTTGGATTGAGATTTTTATCGGGTATCAGGAAACCATGTGATTATAAATTAAACTTGATCAAAACGGGCCCAAACTTGAAATTCAGCATGTTTGACCGACCCATGCCAAATTCTAATTATTCTTTATTTTAAACTTTTTATTTGAAAATAAAAAATAGTGAAAGAAAAGAGATGACTGCAATTCGCCATTTGCACATCACTTATTCGGGAATAAAACCATAAAAATTCAAAAGGAACTGAAAATGTTTAGGATCGTTTTAATGTTTAAAATAACCAAATAGATCGTTCTGTTTAGTTTTTTACTAACAAATACCAAACGATTTCCTATAAAATACACTATAATTTGATCATTGTGATATCAAATAATTATATTATATATATTTGAAATGATAAAAATTGGACTAATTGGGTTGGTCGAGGTTGAACCATTGAATAACTTTAAAATACATTATATTTTAGCTACTAAGATATAAAATAATAGCATAATATATATTATGCTAGAGAAAATAGCTTGTTTTAGAATGACAAACCAATGATGTTCATTTGTTTTACTTGATGGCCAAATCCCGTGCAGGTCAGGCCCATTCAACTCTTTTATTTTATGGTTAGCGGTTAGCCCATTAGATACCATGCATTAGTTTATTGTTAAATTTTTTATTTTTAGCAATAAAAAGGAGTATTGTTTTTGCCTTTTCATATATATTTTATCACCACGGAGAAATAAAAGGGCTTAAAGAAAAAAATTGACCCTGTTGGACCCGTTTAAATCCGCATGTGTACGGTAAGTTGGCCCGTTCCACAGAGGAAAGAGAAAAAAAATTGACACTCCGTATTCTACCCTTCCTACAAACGCTCATGGAGTAGGGGAATTTGAAATGGGGGAAGGGTTTTTTCCTCCATGTTATTATATGTTTTTTATTTAAAAAGATACAACAAATGTACTTAGTGTGATTGGTTATGATCCTTGCTTTTCTTTAAAATGGACATGGTTCGACTCCCATTACATGTCTTTTTAATGAATAAAAAAAAGTAATTGTGAAGACCAAAATGTCCTTCCAATTTTCACTCTCGTTGCAGGAAATTTGAAATGAGGCTCCCGTTTTTCCCTTCGGTGTATTATATTATGTGTAGACTAGTTATTGGGCTCGCGCTCCGCCGCGGTAGAAACTAATAATTTAGTTTAAGTAAAATAATTTACAAAATTATTCATATAAGATAAATATGTAAGTTTCACGTGATGTTTTAATCATTATGAAGAACATACGTAATTCGTTTGTAATTGATACATAAATGATTATTTGTCCATAAACATTACGTGGTGTCTTAATTATTAAGTAAAACTCATTTAACAGTTATAGAACGCTATTACATAAATTTTTCATAATGTGTGGTTTAATAGTATAATCAAGTTATAGTAAGTAACATCGACGAATTTTAAATTTAAGTAATTTTTATTGAATTTTGTTACATAAATATTTCATAATATGTGGTCTAATAATAATTGCTTATGAATTTTAGACTTATCGTTGAAGTGGTTGTAGAGAATAAAACTCATATAATTGCTTATGAATTGTAGACTTATCATAGAAGTGGTAGTAGCGAGTAAAAATCATATGAATAATATTGCAAAAAAGGAGAAAAAAAGGCTTATGGTAAAATTGGTTATATGGGATAGAAGTATAGAACCCTATTGTGAGCAGTACCCGTGGAGAAAAACTAGCATATTTTTTTCTTAATGAACAGTAAAAAGTGCTTATGCTTTCATAATATGTGGTCTAATAATAATTGCTTATGAATTTTAGACTTATCGTTGAAGTGTTTGTAGAGAATAAAACTCATATAATTGCTTATGAATTGTAGACTTGACATATAAGTGGTTGTAGCGAATAAATATCATATGAATATGGGATAAAACCTATAGTGAGTAGTACCCGTGGAGAAAAAACAGCCTATTTTTTCTTAATGAACAGTGAAAAGTGCTTATGCTTTCATAATATGTGGTCTAATAATAATTGCTTATGAATTTTAGACTTATCGTTGAAGTGGTTGTAGAGAATAAAACTCATATAATTGCTTATGAATTGTAGACTTATCATAGAAGTGGTTATAGCGAATAAAAGTCATATGAATAATATTGCAAAAAAGGAGAAAAAAGGGTTTATGGTAAAATTGGGTATATGTGATTGAAAACTATTGTGAACAGTATCCGTGGAGCAATGTTTAATTATACATTACTTTTCACTATTTATTAAGAAAATATTTATTAATAAAATATTTATTAATAAAATATAGGCTACTTTTCACTAATTATTAACTAAAAATTGTTTATTTTCAATGTTTAATTATACATTACTTTTCACTATTTATTAAGAAAATATAGACTATTTTTTCTCCACCTATACTGTTCACAAATTGGTTTTATTCCATGTACCCAATTTTATCATAATCCCTCTTTTTCACCTTTTCAGCATATACTATTCATATGAATTTAATCACTTACAACCAAGTCTAAAACTCATATGAAATTGACCGATAATTTCTTTTTTTGTTGGTGCTGTTCACAATGTTGTTTTATCCCATATATCATATTTTACCATAATCACCTTTTTCTCCTTTGGAGAAATATTATTCATATGAGATAATGGATTTATCCCTTCCAACCAATTCTACGCAAGTCTAAAACTCATATGAAATTCTACGATATGTGTTTTTGTCTACATCCAACTTAACATTACACAAAGATTTCATAGGTTTGTTATTAAATATATAATTATTAACTAAGAATCCTTTATTTTCAATGTTTATTAATAAATAATAATAGCAATATTTAGTTATTCCTTTACTATTAACCAAAATTACATTATTGTTAACTAAAATAATTAACATGTCATCAGTTCTCATTATGCAAGATTAGTGAACTTTGGTATAACAGGTTTAATTATACATTACTTTCTAAAATGTGATTATATCATTAGACCACCATTGTAAAATATTTATATAGCAACGTTCTATAACAGTTCTTTATCTCCCACACCCAATTTTACCATAAGCTCTCGATTAGTTAACTTTGACATAACAGTTTAATCATATTTTACTTTCTAAAATTTTATTTTATTAATTATTAGACCACACATTATGAAATATTTATGTAACAACATTCTTAACATTTATATAAATTAAAAATTCATCAATGTTACTTACTATAACTTGATTTTATTATTAGACCACACATTATCAAAGATTTATGTAATAGCGTTCTATAAATGTTACATGAGTTTCCCATGATGATTAAGACAATGTAAGGTTTATGGACAAATAATCATTTTATATGTATCAATTAGAAAAATGATATGTAAATTTTCCATAATGATCAAACACTACGTAGACCTTATTTAGAAATAGTCATTTATTATGTATCCATTAAACAAACATATGACCTATGTCATTCGTAACGATTAAGACATTACGTGAAACTTACATAAGACATGAATAATTTTGTAAATTATTTGATTTAAACTAAATCATTAGTTTCTTATCGCGGCGGAGCGCGGGCCGAAAAAACTAGTTTACAAATAAAAAGGAAGGGAAGGATTTTGGGAAGGCTAATTGGAGAGGGACTTAATTACATGAAGTAGACTACCATATTTGGCCAAACATAGTCGTCGGTGATAATTGTCATAAAACTAGGGATGGAGGAAGATTAGGCGTGAGATAAATTCCTCAATTAACTAAATGTGCTGAATTTACCTTAACAGTTTGGAGGTCGTAATCTCAAGTGAGTTATTTAAACAATACATGTAATGCTTATATTAAGTCTTTTTTTTTTTTGTTGTTGTTGTTTATTTTGGGTTGAAATGCATGTATTACCTTTTTGAGAGTCCACCCACAATCATTCAAAATTTGTATTATCAATGAGGGATTGTCTACCCCATTTTTGTTGCATATTTATCCCTTATATCTTTTCTATATTCCACAACTGCCCTCGTCACTTGCAACACTGTCCAAATAAAACTGGTTGTGAACAACTAACTGCTTTTACCATAGTTATTTTTATGTGGCATCCTGCAATATTCTAATACGATTAGTTCTATGTCATATACATCACCATTAAGATCATTACGCAGATACAACTGCAATGTTTCCCTACCTTGTTGACCAAGTCATTTGCGTGTCTCAAGAAACACCACAAATGTCGCCTCCTCAGTAGTGCTTCAATCTTGATTTATCTGAAGCAAAAGAAAAGACTGCCATTAGTTTTGAATTCCAGTAAGTTGACATGAGATTAGGCATATGATTTGGTCAATGTTTCTGAGAAATCAAAGGTCTCTTTGTATACAGTTGCTCACCCATAACTGGAAATCAGCACTCTTAACCAAGTCTGTTTTGGCAGGCATTCCAATTCGTAGTCCTGCCTGACATGGAGAGCCTCTTGCAGATCTTCTCTGTTCAATACTTCATAATCTTCTGTTTCACACACGGCCTGATATGGAGGCCGGCGCCGGCAGAGTTGGAGTTCGTCCGTCCATAGAAACCCACGGAGATGATGAAATGATACCGGCTCCCGGCTTGCTTCAACAGCCCTAGCGAAGGTACATAATCCTGCTGTGATTTTCATATTCTGCTAAGAGATGTGATTTCCATATTCTCTGCTGTTTCTAGGACTAGATGGAAATCACGTTTAGAAGACAGTAGTGGTATTGCAGTCTCCACCACTAGGAGACAGTAGGATTGTGACCACGCTCATGTGTCATTCGGCCTCTAGAATAATAACCCTGGCATCAATAGCAGACTACAAATCACCCTTAAGGAAAGCAACTAAGAATAAATAACAAGAAAGTGGTCGTACTTAGATGGATATATAGGTCATAACAGCAACGGTGAAGATAGTTTTGGTGACAGGAATTTGTTGCCTGATGAAGAGGACAAATGGGTAGGACAGAAGCTTGTTTATTGGTTTCACTCTACCTAGTGGTCTACCAAGCCGGCCTCCATTGATAGTACCTTTTCTGAATTTCATATGGCTGCAAACTAACTTACCAACACGAGCAGACGGAACTTTATTGTGACAGTCAGTCTGCAATTCACATTGCATATAATCCGGTATCGCATGAACTTACTATGCAAATTGAAGTTGACGATGCTGTTCGACGACATGTTATTTGATTAGCCCTTTGGTTACAAAAGTATAACTACCATTCCTTATTAGTGGCAGGGGTGAGGTAAGCTGTTTTTTCTTGGCTACTTATCTTATAGGTTGATTAGGCTACTGATGAGGAAATGACCCTATATAAACTTTGTTTTTCTACAGGTTTCAGGGGCAATGAAACAGTAGCCGACCATCTCCAGCTCAAGCTAGTGCTGAAGGTAATTGATTTCTTCATTCAAAGGTGACATTAAATTATGGAACAGTAGAAAAGACAGGCATAATGGTTGCCTCAAGAATATTAAAATTACAGTTTATAATAGATTCGGAGTGTAAAATACATTTTTCGTGTTTCCAAGTTTGAGAGATCATCAAGCTGCCAATGGTCTCCCAGCAACAAATGCTGCAAACAGTGCGAGTGATCTCTTGGGAGAGGAGAATGGAGCCATGTGAGAGGCTCCTCGGATTGTTGCAAATGACAACTTATTGTTCTCCCCATAAACTTGGGTCCATCCACCCACCTGTTTGTCAAAATCAAACCATGCCTTGTATGGCACGGTTGTATTCAACCCCATCTCTTTTGCCAAACGATTCACCAGAATCCTCGTCCCGATGAATGGGAGAACCGAATCTTGATCCCCGCTGTACACTAGTGCTCGAACTCCCGATCCCACCAATGAACCCACCACTCCAATCGTTGGAATCTCCAGATTGTAGTAATCATAATTCACCAGACTGTGAAATGGATTAGAGATATGAGATCTTGTAAGTTTTGTGGTAATACCAAGTTTGAATCTTAGGACCATCATAATTTATTTTGGTCCTGAAAGATTCAGCAGAAGCTAGAAATGCAGGTAATCTAAGAACGGATATGTGTGTTCTTAGTTCTTACTCGCTGCAGAAACCCCAACTAGAGACGCCAACAAGCTTGGCATGCATAGCTTCTTGGACATCTTTCCTGTTCAAATACGTGGATGTCTCACCTTGTACACAAAGGTCTATTGACTTCCCACCAGCTTCCTGCATGCATACCCCCATTATGCTGATCGTAATTCGAGATGGGCTTGAATGGGATCAATAAAAAGACAAACTTACCTGCTTTCTGACACCACTTTGTTTGGACCTAAGTGATGAAACTGGATGGAAACGAGAAGCTAATGAAGAGTGTTGTTCCTGTGAACCAAATTGTGATTCACCATCTAACAAACACACATCAGAAGTGACATCATAGCTGTCGAAGTTTATGTGGGGCCATTCTGCGTTAATCTGAGCTGCAACGAACTCACACGGCTTGGAAAAGCTGCTCGATGACGACAAGCTTTCTCTCGTGAGCTGGGAGAAGTTGCACATTGTATTCACAAGCTGATAGGTGTGGTCCGATATCAAGCTGTGAGACCAGTAGTAACTTCCTTCCCCATTGAAATCTGTGTCGAACTCCAACAATGGGTTCCCTATCTGCAAAAGACAACACAGGATACGAAGAGAAATAATGAAACGTCCTTCAAGTATCAGCATTTACTGATATGTGGCAGCTCAACTTACAGCAATGCCTTTCAAGCTGATTTTTGATCCCGACTCTACAATTAGCTGGGCTAGCTGCGGGACGTAGTGTCCTGTTGGAAGGAAAAAGAATCAGGCACAGAACTATAAGATTTTTGAATCAGATGTTTTTCTTAACAATCAATGGACTCTAGAGGTTACGTACCAGCATAACTTTCTCCGGTGATGAAAAGATCTCTGGTTTTGTATTCAGGAAACTTGAGTAGCCATCTTTGTAGGAAGGCCAAGCTGTCTTTAGCTGATAGTAAGAAGAAGACAGACAAACCAGTTGGATTTTTTTTGCTAATCTGACAATTAATTTCGAATTAAAAATGCAGTTTCAGACCGACCTGTTATGGTGTCATTAACCAAGTTATAGAAAGAGGTGTTGGCAGAATACGAGAAGCCAACTCCTGCTGGGGATTCCAAGTACAGCATGTTTGCTTCTGTAGCAGTAAGAACAAGTAAAACATGTGAACTCTCGCTTACAGGTCGAGAAATGGGGAACTGTGAAAGAAATATATGAGCAGAAAGGTGAAGTGAACCTGTGTTCCAACTGTAGTCATTGTGGACCAGAACCCCTGCTGCATTTGGCTGGAAAGGGCCGTGTTCAGAGAAAGCTCCAGCTCCAATGGAAGAGCATCCAGGTCCTAATAGAACGGATAAACCCATATAAGAAATCATTATAGCTACATAATAACATAATAATGATCAACTGAAATTCAGTACATACCTCCATTGAGCCAGAGAACAAGAGGCTTGGTACTGGAGTTGGTTGCAGCTTCAACGAAGTAGTAGAAAAGTTCCCTCTTCTGGGTTTCATCAACAGTCACGTACCCGGCATACTGCTGGAAACTAACCTCTGGCTGCCCTGGCAGCTTCACAATCTTATCAGCTTCATATGCTGACTCAACTTTTCTGCAAATTGTGGTGAGAGTTGCAGCAATTACGAACATAAGAAGCCATGACCGTGAACTCATCATTGTGGTGAAGAAGCTTCTAACTTCCTTTCTTTGGATGATTGGGCAGGTGGTGGTTGAAGTTGAAGAAATGTGGTTTACCCTATCTGCTTTTTATAGATGGGGTTCATGTCTGAAGAAACAGTATTGGAGTCTTCACACTATGAGACATAGCTGTACAAATCAATGAAGCGGGACAAAAGCATATGGTAGCTTTGTGACCACGCCACGCTTATGTTCATTAATTGACCTCTATTAAGAATTGTGACCATAATACAGACAATAAGATGTTCTTGAGAAAACCAATCAAGCTTCCATTTCTTATCTTTCCTGTTTTTCTCTCTCAATCGAATGCATTGGCAAGGACGGCACATGGTGACAGCATGCTGGTTTTGGCTTCTGGAACTTTGTGATATAAGGAACAAGACAAATGGAAGGATACAAAGTTTGTTACCTTTTTTAGGTCCACCTTAATGTCTAGCAAGCCGGCTTTCTTGGATTATACTTTGCCTACTACATTTTCCTTAATGCTTTGTTGCATCGCTTTCCATTCTATGGTCAGTTCTGCAGAGAAGGAGATGACAAATTTTAGTTGTTTGGAAGTTGTGACTTTTCAAATTAATGTATTGGGACAATTAGTGTATTATCATTTGATGGATTGAATCAATTGATGTATTAGGTAAATATCTTGTTTGGAGGTTTAGATTGTGTTTTTGTTCCAAAGTTAAAAAAGTTAGTATTGAGTGATTGTGAAAAATCTCAACAAAAAGTAGAGATTGTGAATCCCTCAATATTGAGTGATTGTGGTGGGGCCTCCAAAAAGTAAATGCATGTGTTCTAGTTCTATATAAATAAATAAAACGACTTAATCACACAAATACATGAATTAGATCAATACACCATTTGAAATCACAACTTCCAAACAGAAGCCATGGCCATGAGAAGTGTAGCTGATTTCCATCTAGAAATGGGTGCAAATCAAGCAAGTTTGTGCCTGTTTAATCATATGATTACAGATCACTGGCTGCTGCGCTCAAGAATGTTTAGAGAGTAAAATAAATTTTACACAATGAATCCAATCTGTGGGGATAAAGCTTATATATTGCAGCTTCCAGCGTTTACATCTCCCTTTGGTTCAGATGATGTTGCAGTGTCCTAATTTGCACTGCCATTGCTATGGAAATAGATCATGATATACCTCGCATATTTGCACATGAGTAGATCAATATGCAGATAGAACTGCAAGTTCATTACATGATACTTCAAACTCCTACTAATAGACCACAACTGCGCAGGAAAGACTAAAGACCATCTGCTGAAGTAACTATTTACTGCAGCAGGGACACAGACTAACTGCTAGTTCCTTTGTTACACAAAACCTTCAACTCCTGCTAATCCAGAATTTCTCTGGAACGCTAAACACCATCTGCTGAATTATTTAGTAGAGTCGTTAACATGAGAACCCTGGCGTCCGCTCGAAAAAATGAAGAGCTGTAAAAGAGATACGAGCAGAATGTGAACTGAACCTTTGTTCCAACTATATTCATTGTTGACCAGAACCCCTGCAGCATTCGGCTTGAAAGGGCCGTGTTCGGAGAAAGCTCCAGCTCCAACTGAAGAGCACCCAGGTCCTGATAATAGCAGAGAAACAGACTTAAGAAATCATGATAGTAGCTATACAACAACAAAACGATCAACTAATCTTCAGTAGATACCTCCAGTGAGCCACAAAACAAGAGGCTTGGAAGTGGAGTTTGTTGCAGCTTCCACGAAGTAGTAGAAAAGTTCCCTCTGCTGGGTTTCATCAACAGTCACATAACCTGCGTACTGCTGGAAGCTAACTTCTGGCTGCCCTGGCAGCTTCACAATCCTATCAGCTTCATATGCTGACTCAACCGTTCTGCAAATTGTTGCGAGAGTTGCAGCAATTTTGAACATAAGAAGCCATGAATGAGAACCCATTATGGGGGTGAAGAAGCTTCTAACTTTAAGAGATTTGTATGGACGGTTGAAGGTGAATCAATATGGTCTGTGCCATCTTCTATTTATAGATGAGATTTATGTTTGAAGTACAGGATTGAATTCCTATTCACATTATCATACATAGCTTCACAAATGATATAATGGCATTGTGATTACACCATGCTTACGTTAACTAGTTGACAAGCATTGTTTCCTGCTTTCTCTCCCAAAGGCATGGTAGTTATGCTACTGCAATTGAATGAACATGTCAAATGAAAGGATACAACAGGGTTTTCTTGTTTATATTCAGTCTAGTATCCTACCAAGCTGGCTTCCTTGGATTATAGCTCTGTTTCATTTCGTTTTATTATTTGCATCACTGTCCAAATAAAACTTTTTTGTCAATAACTAACTGCTTTCACCATAATTGTTTTTATTTGCGTCCTGCAATATTCTAAAATGATTAGTTCTATGCAACACACATCATCATTATAATCAAAACACAGAAATGGCACAAATGTGGCCTCATCAATACTGCTTTAATCTTGATCTATCCAAACCAAAATGGTATACTGCATTAGTTTTGAATTCCAGTTCGTTGACATGAGATTAAGCATGATTTGGTCAATGTTTCTGTGAACTCAAAGGGCTCTTGTAGATAGTTGCTCATTCATACCTTGAAATCAGCACTCTTAACCAAGTCTGTTACATGGGGCAGGCAGTCCAATTCGTAGTCCTAGAAAGCTTCTTGTAGATCTTCTCCCATCATCAATCAATGCAAACCAAAATTGAATTTCTTTGAGAGTCATGAGCAGCTAAACTAATCAAACCCTAGTTCGCTAACTTACTTCACGACTTGATGAAGCTTCGACCGACCGAATCGACGAGAAAAGCTTGGATCTTTCGAACTTGGAACCTCCCATTACCCTTGGCGACGGTCCAAACATTGCAAGACAGAGACATCCTGTGCGCAAGAATCTTTGCTGAGAGCCGATCATCCACTTACGTCCACTGCAGCAGGTTTGCGTTGGTGCATGAGACTACAATAAGCCCGAATGGACCCGAAACCCATGTTGATATTTTGTACTCGGGCCGAAACGAAAGATTTGGATTGGGCCCAGGACGCTGAGCGGAAATGAATCGCTATTTGCCGCCCTAGTATTTACTATTTGCCGCCCATAATTTTAAAATATAAGACGATTTTGCCCTTCTTCCAACTAACTCAAACCTATCTAACCCGCCGCCGACCAACTTCCTTCCTCCTTCCTCAAAATCCTAACGCCGGCCGACCAGACCCCTTTACCGTTGCTCCCACCGCCGAAGACCCCTCCATTCGCCGCGGTGTTGTCGTCGTCGCCGTCGAGAAAGCAGCTTGACGAGAAACTTTTTTTTTTTGTGTGTCCGCTCGCCGGAGGCGGACGGGGTCCGACTGCCAGACGCGGACGAGGTCCGAATTTTGGTGGCGGACGGGTTCCGAGACCCGGCGGCGGACGATTACTATTTTTTTTTTTCAAAAAACGTTTTTGAATTATTAATTATTTATTTAGTAATTAAATAAATGCAAAATACCATAATTAGTATTTAAATAGTTATGTTGTTTTAAGTAATTATAAATCCGATAATTAAGCAAATTAAAAAGAGTTTTTTAAGGCAAGTTTTCGGAAGATGAAATTTGAGTAGCAAGTTTTCGGAAGGAAATTTCAGTAATTAACAATCGGGCAATAACCCACGTCCCCTAATTACACTCAAACACGTATGGAATATAATTTATCAATATATATTTTTTTCCAATAAATAAGAACCCGTATGTTAGTTAGATTAAAGGTTAATAATTATATTATTATGTTAAATATATATATTCACGGTTGAAAAAATCTAACCCAAGATTACCAATAATTATATGATGTTATCTCTAATCAACAACCTCGAATTTGTAGGGATTTCCTTTTTTGCCCGGGACACTATTTATAATTAGTTAGATTAACGGTGGAATACAATTTATTAATATATTATTTTTTAACATAATTATCAAACACTTATGGAATTAGGGGAAACATAATCATCACGTCTCAGCCATAATAAATAATATTTTTTATTATTAATTATTTCCTTCTTTGATTGCTACAAACGGAATTAGGGGAAACATAATTTAATAAATAATTTCCTGTTTTAATAGTAGTTGAGTTTAATTTAATCACTTAAAGTTTTTTTTTTGCGTAAAATAAGTTTAGTGAATAAACGTGGTGAGACAGGAATTAGCTAGATTAACAGTAACAAAAGATGAAATCATATGTTCTCCCTCTACACATTCTACCTCTCTCAAACCCTAAACCCTAATTTCCACAAAATAACTAACTTCAACCTCGATCCATCCAATCCTACTACGACATTGTCTTAGAGGCAAAATCGTCTCTGCCTCGACTAACAACAATCGTTCGCATCGTGAAAATACTCATGGTAGGCCCAAGAAACTACTCGTTATGACCCCCACAGCCCCAAAAACCTCGATAAAATTTGTGACACTATTCATTCTTTTTTGTCCCGGATGTCCAATCGATAAAGGATGATTCCAACATGTTCGTATCCATATTTTAGTGAAACGATGAGGGTTTCAATAATTTTTCACGTCTTTTACACAATTAAAATAAATTACGCATAAGCTTGTAGCCTTGTACAATATTTATGATCATTTATAATTAAATATCCATAATATTATACAACATTTTTTATAAATTATAATTACTTAAAAATATAACTAATTGGTCAAGGTCACACCCTAATCTTGTTAAACCGTAATCCGGTCAAACAATAAATTAATATTATTATATATAGTTAATCACTAGTTTTATCTAATTTAGAGATTTTATCCCTACCAACCTCTTTTCTAATTAAATGATAATATTAATATAATAATGTCAATAACCTCCTAATCCAACTCACTCACGGGAGAATATTTGGTAAAAATCATTAGTTACTAAAAATTATAGAGTTTAGTGCTAATTAAGCGCGCCATGTTGTGCTCTGTTATGGATTTCTTCAATCCTTTCCAACTATCCACGTCTAATTAGTATTAATATTCAATTTATTTCCTTAATTAATGACCGGCTATATTAATGCTGAAAATAATTAATTATTAACACACTTTTTATTATATTCCGCTTATCTCTCCCCCGTAATCCCTCCACCATTATTTGCGGCTCGTAATTCGGTAAATTGTTAATGGAAGGAGTTAATATTGATTTAGAAAGTATAAAGCTAAATAAATGACGGAATGTTAGGAGTTAATAAAATAAAAAGACTAATTATTGGGCAAATTACACGGGATGCAGACCAACTCTAACCCCATAATTATTAGTTTTTTTCCGGTGATTTTTGCTATCGCCACCACCACAATTCCGGGAACGCGTCCGACACAGGCTGGCGGACCGCGTCCGACGGCGGCGATCGGACCCCGTCCGATGGAGGCTGGCGAACCCCGTCCGACGGGCGGCGATCGGACCCCGTCCTATGGAGGCTGGCGGACCGCGTCCGACGGGCGGCGATCGGACCCCGTCCGATGAAGGCTGGCGGACCCCGTCCGACGAGCGCAGGCGGGGGTTAAAAAAAAAACTTGGTCTTGACGGCGAGCTCCTTCCTCGGGCGGCGGCGATTTCTTTCTCACGGTGGTGGCGACAGCAATAGCAGAGGCCACCTCTTCAACAGTTGGCGGCGGGAGGGGAGGCAGACCCGCCGGCGGAGGCGAAGCAGACTCGCCGACGACTTCGAGGGGATGCAATAGGTTTAAAACGAAAAAGGGTAAAATAGTAATTTTACTTATAATTATGGACGGCAAATAGTAAATTTTAGGGCGGCAAATAACAACCCTCGAGCGGAAGCAGGTTAAAGACTAATTAGCTTTGAACCAACGGCTGGTTGCCATTTAATCATTTTTGGGTACTTCAGGATAAAGCTGATATATTGCAGCTTCCAGCGCCTACAGCTCCTTTCGTTCAGACGATGTCACAGTGTCCTAAGTGGCACTGCGATTGCTGATGGAAATAGATCTTGATATACGTCTGCATAATTTGCACGTTAAGATCAATATGCAGATAGAACTGCAAGTTCATTACATGATACTTCAAACTCCTTGCTAATAGACCACAACTGCCCAGGAAAGACTAAATACCATTTGCTGAAGTAACTATTTACTGCAGCAAGAACACAGACTAACTACTAGCTCCTTTGTTACACAAAACCTTAAAATCCTACTAATCCAAAATTTCTCTGGAACACTAAACACCATCTACTGAATTATTTAGTACCAGCAGGAACACAGATTGACAAAGTCAGCTCAAGCTTTTGACACTGGTAATGGCTTCCTCTCTAGAAATGATCTCAACAGTGACAGAGATCTCTTGGCAACCTTAGACGATCCGCCTCTGATGGAAGCGTAGGTCAGCATCTCACCATAAGCTTCTGTCCATCCACCAACCTTCCAAAGTAAAAGCAATTTCTAGGGTTAAGAACTAAAGCAGTTCAAACATAAAACATGAGTATGCAAATCATTCGGCACTAACCTGTTTATCAGTGTCAAACCATCCTCGATAAGGCACTGTTGTGTTCAGCCCTACCTTGTCGGCCAAGTCACTGACCAGCACCCTTGTCCCAAGAAACGGTACGAATGTCACTTCATCAATACTGCATTAGTTTTGAAATCCAGTAAGTTTGAAACGAGATTTAGTCATGAATGTTCAATCTTCTGGCTTAGTATATAGTTGCTCATTAACTCAAACCTGTAAATCAGCACTCTGATCCCTTTCATCACCAATGAACCCACCATATCTACTGTCGGAGTCTCGAAGCCTCTCTTATCATAATGAAAAGGCCTGCCCATAAACAGCCACAGAGAGAGAGAGAATCAGACAGACAGGTTAAACTTTGAGCAGTAGAATGGATGGCTCTGTTTCAATTGAGTCTTTTTTTCACCTGGGGCAGGCAGTCCAATTGGTAGTCCTGGCATGGAGAGCTCCTTGCACATCTTTTCTATTCAAATACTTAATGATCTTCTCTTTCACACACACATCTGTCCCTTCTGAAACTTCCTGTCCATCATCAATCAATGCAACCAAAAATTACACTTCAACCCAAAAAAAAAAAAAAAAAAAAAAAAAAAACTTGAACAATCATGAGATGCTGAATTAACTTACTTCATGACTCGGTGAAGCAGTGAGTGAGCGAATCGACGAGAAAAGTTTCGAACTTTCGAACTTTGAACCTCCCGTTATCCTTGACGACAGTCCAAATATTGCAAGACAAGTATCGGAAGAGACATCCTGCATGTCAAGGCCGTCTGGAATCTCTGCTGAGAGCCTATCATCCACTTCTTTACAAGCCGTGGAAAATGGGGAGCCAGAGTAGATCTCTCTCAGCCACTTGGCGCCATTGCAGAAAGTTTCCATTAGTACGTGGGTTTTATCCGATATCAACCCGTGAGACCAGAGGAAGTCTCCGATTGACCCCATATCAGTGTTGAAGTTCAGCAGAGGGTTTCCCATCTGAAAAAAAATGTAAGCAAAAAAGTTCACCATAGCTTCAGGGGAGCCAGAGAATTCCAGTTTTTTTTAAGAGTTACCATGATTCCTTTCAGATTGATGCCGTTTGTTGTACTGCCACGGAGAATGCGATTGGCAAGAAATGGAACAGAACGACCAGTAGCATAGCCCTGTCCGGCGATGTAGAAGTCTCTGTTCTTGTACTCTGCATATTTCTGGAACCATCTGGTCAAGAAGATCATATTCTGCGTAGCTGCAACAGATATAACAGAATAGGTAGGTAAATCACTCCCAGAAAGATAAGTTTCAGAAGAAGAAGAAGAAGAAGAAAGGATTGAAGAACCTATAACGGTGTCATTGTAGATGTAGGTGGCAAAAGTAGTAGTAGTATTGGCAGAGAACGAAAACCCAGTGCCAGTTGGAGAGTCGAGGTAGATTATGTTAGCCTCTGCGACACAATAATCATAAAACTGCTTCAGGATTCGTCTGATGTTTTAGAAAAAGGAAGAAAAGAAGAAGAAAGTCACCTTGGTTGAATGTGTACTTGTTCGTAGCCAGAACATTTCCACAGACAGGACTGAAAGGGCCATTCCCAGAAAATGCCCCAAAGTTAGAGCACTCCAACTCTGAAACACAGCAACAACAAAAAAAAAAAACAACAAAAAAAATGAAGAACTTTGCTAATATAGAAACACAACTACAAAACAGAATCTGAGGTTTGTTAATTTACGGTCGCCAAGCCAGAGAACAAGAGGCTTGGAAGCAGGATTGGTGGCAGCTTCAGCGAAGTAGTAGAAAAGTCTAGACTGAAGCTGATCGTCCAGAGCTATGTATCCTGAAAACTGTCCAAACCCAACTGGCTCTGGCTGCCCCGGCAAGCTGCTGATTCGGTCAGCCTCGTTGGTTAAAGGTGGTTGACAAGCATCGGATTCTGCCCTGATGAAGCTTGGCATCGTGAAAAGACTTGCTGCCATGGTCGTGATGACCACCATGATCACCTGATGAGTCTGCATTGTCGGTTTCGGAGTGTTTAAGGGTACAAGTTCACCCTACAGGAAGGTGACTGAACTTATAGGGCTTCTTTCAGCTTGGTCAATTATTGAGTGCGGATCTGGTGACTAAGGGGGTGCTTAGTCACTTGACTAAGCCCCTCCTAGTCATTAGATCTGGACACTTCAATTCAATGGTTAAAAAATGGGAAGGGTTATTTAATTAATGGCAGGGGTAGTTTGGGTATTATGGAAAATTACGAAGTATACAAACCGGATTTACAATCAGTACAAACCATACAAACATACAAACAATACAAACTAGAGTGACAAAACATACAAACATTACAAATGTATGAACTGTACAAACAATACAAACTAGACCGACAAACAATACAAACCATATAAAAAGAAAAAACAACCGGGTTGACTTTTGAGGCTCCATCCCTATATAGAGGGGCTCCTTCCCAAAGTCAACCCGGGTGTTTTTTAGACATACAAACAGTACGAACATGGTGGACAAAAATGACAAACTAGACCGACTATCCATACGAACGGGAAAAAACTCCCGGGTTGACTTTGGAGGCTCCATCCCTATATAGAGGGGCTCCTTCCCAAAGTCAACCCGGGTGTTTTTTAGACATACAAACAGTACAAACATGGTAGACAAAAATGACAAACTAGACCGACAATCCATACGAACGGGAAAAAACACCCGGGTTGACTTTGGAGGCTCCATCCCTATATAGAGAAGTTCCATCCAAAAGTCAACCAGGTTGTTTTTTAGACATAAAAAACATTACAAACATGGTTGACAAAGATGATAAACAGGGTGCACAAAAATAACAAAGTTTACGAACATTACAAAATAACAAAGCGTACAAACATTACAAAAAATGTCAACAAACATCACAAAATTGGCACTGTCGCCGGAAAATTCTTCTATGTCCACGGTGGTCGCCGGGAAAAAATTTTCCGACCAGAATCTCTCTCTCTCTCTCTGGGACGAACCAAAAAAATAAATGGCACTGGCAATGGCAGGAATGCTTTTTTGTTTTGTTTGAAAGAGCAATGGCAGGAACGCACTGGAACGCACCGGAAAAGACTGACCGGCGAGGAGACGGGCTGGACGGCCGGGGTCGCTACTGTTGGATATTTAATTATTAATTTCTAAAAATAAAATAATCATGTAATTACTACACTACCCTTCATTAAATTGAATTAATTAGAGCCATTGGATTTTAATGAACTTGAAAGGCTAGGATTGACTTAGGCAAGTGACTAAGGGGACCCCTTAGTCAACTCCCGTCAATTATTGGCTTCCATTATCCTGTTGAGAGTAATGTTAGGGTGATGCAAATGATGTATCATGTATGCAGCCGAAATTGGTAAGTTAGTTAGGTTTACAGTGGTCCGGCAAATGATGGAACTATTCAGTTTTTGACGGGGAGATGATTTACTCTGATTTGAGTGGGATGGAGTCTGTTTCAGCATATGGAGGGGTGAACAGGGTTCATTTGGAGTTTGGTGCCTCCATGGCCATTTTTTGGAGAAAGGTTAAAAGTGTAGGCCAATGGAGCTCTTCTGATATTTGTTCTTTCACTTAAAAGAGGTCAATTTGGACGTGTGATGTCCTTTTGGATTGGTTCAGGTTTGGTTATTCTCTGTGACCATCTTGAACCTGCTTTAGGTCATAGCTAGATTTAGGTGAATGTAGCTTAGATACATGCATTTGAACTAGTAGTAAGAACGATCATACGCTAGATATCTATTTTTGTACAGCAATTAAAAACCACTATCTGAGGCCATGAGCTCTACTGCAAGTGAGGCCTAACCTTGCCACCTACAGGCTGCAAACTCTCATCTTTATCATATTCTTCCGCAAAACTGAGCTCGATCATTGGACAGAAAGCTCTAACTATGTTCCTTCTGGTCGTAAATAATCAAATCGGCATGAGTTTCCTTGTACCGCTGGCTCATGTACGTGCTACATTTAATTGGTGGAAACCTATATTACAAGTTGGATGTTTAACAGCATAAGACAAGCGAACTGATCAAGTGGAAGCCATACTTGTAGTTTTAGATCCTATGGGACTAAGAAAAATGAGGTTATCAACTTACTTGGGAGGATTTTCCCCTGATTTACACGTTGGCAAGCATTCAACAAGGCAATCGTGACTTGGATCAGCAAAGTATGCAATCTGCAAATCACGGTTACAAAAATTTTACAAGTTGCTGGACGAAGCAGTATACTTAACATGCCATCAACCAAATTGATGGAAAGGTGGACCAAAACTGAGGAACAAGATAGATATGAAAACGAAATCTTACGGAATATCTCTCTTGACCATTTCCTAGAACTCTATGTAATGTGGACCTGCAGAGACAACCATTTCAATAATTCAATCCATAATTGTCACAAGGAATGCAATTGCGAGTGATTATGTGTGAAATGCTGAGAAGCCTGAGATCTGAAAGATTAACTTGAAGATACAGTTGCTCCACCGCTCCAGCATGTCTCCAAGATTTACTATGAACGCTCTGTTCAACATGACAACAAAAGAACTTGTCATTATCCTGCCTACAAGGTCTACTCAATTTTATCTTTTGTGCATACAAGTGCTGGTGCTGCCATTATAGTTTTTACTCTACAAAATGACAGCTGATAGCTAACACAAGATTTTTTATCAACCAAATAAGTACACTAGTCCAAGATAGTAATATATCGCGATCGATAAACTCACAACAGGCTCACCCTTGCATTGGGGCTACATATTCCCATACTTGAGGTTGAGCATCCTTATCATTGCATATCTGTAGGAAGATCATATCAATACTAGTTGTAAACTAAAAAAACAGTTTGATCTATTGGTCAAACACATCAAATTCACTTGTATATTCGCACTTGGAGGCCATAGACGTCATCTGTGGCTAGGAGGGTAATAAAACCATAGTCCGAATGAGCACCAGCTCCATATAAGCCCTTTGCTGGATCAGACACCTGACCTGGAACCATCACAGGAAGCATCTCAGGAAGCCTAAGTGACATATCAGAAAGGAAAGAAAACTATTGAAGGCTGCAAAGAGCCAAGTGATCCAATGGATCAACACAGCAACAAGTAACCATACACTTCATTACCTCCATAACGCAGCAGTCGCATTATAGCAATAGGTTGCCCAAGCATCTCCGGTTTATCAAAGAAATCAGCTTCTAGATCAAGTGCAAGAGCTATGATTCTCGCAACTACTCTTGCTACCTCACTAAATTGAGAAGTAAAAGAATAAAAACAGCAAGGGAAATGGAAACAAACATCAGACAATAATCATATATTACGGCCTAAACACCCTAATTAATTCCCATGGGACAAATATATTCAGCAAATGATAAACTCACAGAGCTTGCTGATGGAACTTCTCCATTGTTTCTCTCCAACCCGGCAAAAGGTCTATCAACATAACAACCGGTTTCAAATTCAAAGCTTGGAAACAGGGGTAGCAAATCAACCATATCTAACCAAAAGATCGAATCTGTACCAATGGCAAAAACCTAGGTGGGAAAGAAGAACCTGATGATGGCCAAATATTATGCCCGTAGAAGGGTTTCTCTGCTGCGGGATCATCTTATGGAACTTCTATTCCAATGTAGTACCCTTCCTTATAGTCTCCTACTCAAGAAAAATCATTTGCTTCCCATCCTCAACTCATCATTTCCAAACAGAAATGGTTAAAGGAAACCAAGGCTAGAACCAAAAGTCGATTAAATGGAAGGCAACAACAGCCTTACTAACCATGAACTTGATTCTCAGGATCCAATAGCTCGTCCAGCTCCGGAGTGTATCCTCGATTCTTCTCGTTCCTCAAAACCTTCATTTTTTCCTTCGCCGGCAACTCGAATAACTTCTTGCTCTGAGCAAACACCTCCGCCATAAATTCTTGGCTTATCCCATGATTAACCACGTAAAAGAATCCACAATCCAAGCACGCCTGATGAAATATCAAACAGCCCTTGAAGATTATGAACGCTCAAATAACCCAAAAGTCTCCCAGCAACTGAGAATTAAAGGAAAAACAGGAACCTTTTTTAGTAACGAAACGGAAGTTTGAGTATAGGGGCTGGAGAGATCGATGCAGTTCAATACGGAGAAGCGATTTTGGGCGGGAACGTTTACTTCGTGCTGCTGATTCTCCATTGATGGAATCTACGCAACAACCACCTCTCAAATGCTATTTTTCTCGCTTTTACCCTTTTTTTTTTCTCTTTCTTCCGGGCGTTTTTAGCGGTGGGAAAATATGGCTATGGATCGAGTGGTTCAGAAATCAGAACCTGACTGAGTTGGAATAGAGGGGTAGTTTGAAAATTGCGATTGTTAAATAGATGTATTGTTGAGAATGCATATATAATATTATACATGTATTGTCGAATTTGATGCATTGTAGAATACAACGTTTGGTATGTGTGATTGTGTATGTCGAATCAGCTAAAAGTTGAGACAAAACAATCTTAACTCAACTATGTCAACAATCACAACTAAAAATTGAGATATAACAATCACTCAAAATGAGTGATAGTTTCTGTCTCATCATAGAATCAATCCATGTATTGTTTCTGCTAAAAAAACTAAAAAAACGATGCATTGAAAACAATACATGCATAATGACAATCTCAACAAAACAATTGCAACTTCCAAACGACTCCAGAATTTATTAAAAATAAAGAGAACAAAGATATAGATAGTATTTTATTTTATTCAAATATGTGACAATTCAATTTTTTTTTTTTGCCATATATAGGGGATAGCAGATACGAAGTATATAACAATATACATGACCTTCGCAGGTCAAATCACAAATGAAAAATAAAAAGACCTTTGTAGGTTTGACAAAATAGGGTTTTCCTGCCACGATATGGGCTGCCCTATGATACCTGAAGGCTGAACGACATGGGCAATATCATAATTTCTTCCCCTTAAAAGGATCAAAATCATCAACTAACCATGCTGAAAATTGAAGCAGAGCAGCAAACCCTTGTAAATCTGGCCCAGTTCAGCACAAAAGCCTGTAAAGCCTCCACCGAATATACCACTAATCCTGCAAAACCAAAACACACACAGCTAGGGGTGTGCAACGGTTCGGTTCGGTCCGGACCGGACCAAACTCATGAGAACCGCGGTCCATTAGTGAAAGACATGTTAGGACCAAGGACCGGACCATTCTTGTATTTGGTCCGGTTCGGTTCGGTCCAAATATGAGCTCGGTCCACCATTTCTTCAGTAATTATAAAATTCATGAGGACCAAGGACCGGACCGCATTTTACTCGGTCTGGTCCGGTCCGGTCTTAACAACGGTTTGGTCCGGTGTGGTCCGGTACGGATCGGACCATTGCACACCCCTACAGACACAGCCACCACTGTGTGGCTAAACCTCTATCCTTTGCAGAGATAAAACCTTGGACAAAACTCCTGAAACACATAGTAACAAATTCTCATAACATGAGAAAAGGGAACCGACTGCTTCGGAAGATGAACTACTTACATGTCTGGGGTACGCTACTCTACCATACTCGGTACACCTATTGAGTTTTGCTATTTATATTATGAATTAACTGGAGTGTGAGACATGATATTGGATCATGAGTTTTAGTCTCTAATTGTCTAGACAAAACTATAAAATTATATTCAATTTGATTCGAATATTAATTGTGTACGATTTTATAATGGAATTGTTGATATACTTACTTTTTGTGCAAGGTTATCAGACTAGACTTGATTCGAATACAACCAGTCTTATTGTTATTATCCATCTTATTGAATTAAAAAAAATGGGAAAATAACACAACAACAAGTGTATTAGTTAGTTGGTCCGACTCAGATCCAATTTAATGACAGCTCTGATGGAATTTATCAAATACAAAAGTTACTCTCGTCCGCAATGAAAAAGAAAGAAGTATTATTATAATATAAATAACGCCTAATTGGTATAAGGGGTCCAGTAGTATGTGGACGGGTGCACCATAGTGTTTCTACGCTCGCTTTCCCTACCGGCTACCGCCCTTGATTTCCCGTCCCAGAAACCTCTTCACTTCCCTCCGACGATGGAATCTCCTGGCGGCACCCATAATCCATACATGCAACAAACTCGATCAACTCTCAAATTCTCAATTCGTTTTTGCTTTCCATCTCATCAACTCAACCTCAACAGAAAAGATGAAGGGGGAAGCTACAAATCTGCACCCATAAGATGGATGATCGATAGCGGAGCACTGTCGATTTGATTCCACCTCTGGCTCACTAGAAACCCTCACAATCCATAGACCCTATCGATCCATCGCTAGCAGCTGTCCTCTTGGACAAATTCTGGAGTCAGGATCTCCATTTCCCTCCTTCTCCATTACGAGGTTTTGAATGAAAGGAGGAGATGCCTAGAGAGTTCGAGAAGATGGCTATGGTCCAATTAATAGCCTTATATTGGAGTTTAGGTCACTGGACAGCTGGTCGAGCCATCAATTGCAAGGCTCAATGAGATTTTTTGAAGGAGGCATATTATTAAGACTCGAGAGAGAGCATAAGAAGTGCAGAATATGATTAGGAAGTGGAAGAGGCAAGGTAAGATTGACCACGTGTTTAGGCCCTTTTCTACATTGGCCACGTGTATAGATGAATAAAAGAGTTGGAATTAAAGGATTTTGGGAGGAACATTAGTCTTAGCTATAGCCATGACTATTATTTTGAAATTCATTAGAAATATAAAAGATAAAATTAAAATAATATACTCTGAATATTTAAAAAATCCGTACTTTAAATTTCTCTCTTATTATAATTTATGAATATTTTCCTTCTTATAAATGGAAAGTAAAGTCCATGAAATGAAAGGCTATGGAGAGGATGATGCATGTTTAGTTAATAACTAATAAGTAAAATAGTTTTGGTAAATAGGTAGTGTGGATGTAACTTGGAAAAACCATTTTGTTATTGTCATGTCTAAAAATAATGATGAGTTTGAATATCACATTCTACTTAAAAAAGAGAGTGACAAAATATATGAGAGCTCACATTTATTTATTTTTTTCTTATTTTATAGGGGAGTCAAAATATGATATGTACAACTAATTATATTAAGGAGAATAAATTTAATAGGCGGAGAACAAAATGGAACGTTTTATAATTTTTCTTATTTTATAGGGAGTCAAAATATGAGATGTACGACTAATTATATTAAGGATAATATAAATTTAATAGATTGAGAACAAAATGGAACTTCGATCTTACCTTGCATATCTCTGCAAAGAACAGTTCGAAATAGATTTCATCAAATTTATCGTTAAAATTACAATTTAATTTGTGAGCATAAAGTTTTGGTAGAGTGATGAGTAATAGGGATGATAAAATTACTTCTTCCAACTCTTCTCCTTTGTAAAATTCAAAATTTAGCCACTCTAATTGACATTTCACCTTTTAATTTATCATGTATTCTTAAGTTGCCTTACGATCACTTGAAATATCAAATTATGATATACATGAAAATATCTGGTGCGGAGCCCGGGCCATTTATCTAGTATAATTTTATTTCACATGTCACTGAATACACTCTAATACAGACAACGTTAATTCCCCTCCTGCACAACTTACATTCCCCCTTTGGGTAATAGATCCCTTCTTCTTCATCACGCAGCAGGTGAACAAGCATCCATGCATGTAATTAATATTAAGCTCTGTATAACAGGATCTTCTTCACCGTAATCAGTCACCGATTTCCTTAATTCTTACAATATAAGTCCCATATATGCATACATTCGTTAAGCTAGCGGCAAATCAATCAAATGACGAAAGTGGTCGGGGAGTTTGTACTATCCCCATTACATCATTTGGACGACTGGTACTCGTCAGCACCTCATCTATCCTCTCCCTCGTGTAACTCTCTCGTTCAACTCCAAGAGAAGCTAAAAAAAACCCTCAACTCCTCTCCTCCAATCCCGCCATCAGAAGCTCACCAAGAATTGAAGGTTTGTGGGCCACAACATCTGTTTCTTCCTGTAATCGAAAGTGCTCATTTGTTGTTTGATCGAACATTTATTTCCCTCATTAACTAATTAGTACCCATCTATTACCAAATCTCTTCCGCTTTCATGTCGGGATGTTGGGGATTCGTCACAAGGAGCTCATTTGGTTGCAGCAAGGTTGGATGCTCGATTGTGAAGGTGAGTTATCTCGGTTTATCTTCTCTCGGAAAACCCCTTCTTTGCTTCTCTGGTATTCTTTTTTTGGTGAAAGAGCTTCTGTTTCGTTGGCGAAACTCGCGCGTTCAATGCACTCTGATTTCAAGGAAACAAAAACCCAAAGTCAGCAAAATCGTCAAATATCCGCCGCCGAAGTCGGCGCCGTTGATTTGATCGATTAAAGTAGAAACCAAGACGATCGTCAAATATCCGCCGCCGGTATCGGCGTCGTTGATTTGATCGATGCACCTTTGACCTCTAATCAAACAACCGTTACTCGGTTCACCACCTCTCCAAACTACGTTCGAACGAGGGTGTTCAACGAGAAACGAGAAACCAAACCGAGAGTATTCTAAGTTACGTTACCTCTACTCCTATGGAGGTTCCTCTGGAGAGCTCCGCAACTACGACTACAACTACTACGACTCTGCAAAGGAGGTCTTTGACAGAGCAGTTCTACGAACTAGAGAGAAAAAGATAAATCTGCGTAGGTGCAGTTTGTGATTTGATTTTGCCGTCCCGAGCTTCTCTCTCTTCCTAATCTTTATACTTCGCGCTTCTCCCCATCTTGGTAACTGCCTTCGCACCTTTGTCTCCCACGTCTTCATTCCTGTCAACCGTGCAGGTAACTCCCTCCTTGTTGCGTGATAATCACGTGCCCTCGAAACCGCTCCGCTTTGCAGAAACTTGGCGACTTACCACTTTGTCCATGTAATTCACCAATACCACGGCATCGCCTTTCACCAACCGATGCCGTTTTATGATCCAACTCAACTGCCCCGGCCCGGTTTAACCAACGACATTGTTGGTCCATCAAACAATGTCATTCTATACTCTTGCGACGTCGTTAGGCTTGGCAGGCTGCCTTCGGCTGAACTCTTACCACTGTCGCGGTGTCGTTTTACTTTTCCATGACATCGCTTCTCATTAAACGATACCGTCTTTAAACACCCATAAAATACTAATTAATTACTCAGCCTCATTGTTAACTCGCCGTCAAACTCTCATCCCGGCGTCGTTCTTAATTAAACAACATCGTTTCCCTGTCCCGCGATGTCGTTGAGCTTAACAACATTGTTTTAATTTTAACACTGTCGTTTTAACTGCTGCGGCATCGTTTGGCCTACTTGCGGTATTGATTTATAATCCGCGGT